TTTTTATGAAAAATATCACTTTTCCTTTCTTCTTTTAATTTGAAAGAAATAATTAAAAAGATTTGTTAAAAAAATTTATCTCTTCAATACACAAAGTAACTGATATTCTTATTTTCTTATCATTATTTTGTATTACTCTTATTCTTTAAACTGTTTCTTTGAAATAACAAATATTTAATTAATGTGAATTATTAATAATTATAATAATGTCACTACGTTAAACACTAAAGAATAGTATTTTCTTAACAGTATAAATATCTTTGAACGGTGTTGATAATTCCCATGAGAAGATTCATAGACGTTAACATAATTCATAAGTAAGACTTTCATATATTTTGAGTAATTAAAGTATAAAGTATAAACTAAAGAAGTAGAAATATTTTAACGTTAAGAATGAGAAGAGTAAGATAGCAAAAAATAATAAAATAGAAGATTATTGTAAAGAAATAAGTTTGTTATTTAAGAAAAAGAAAATACAAAAGAGGAAATAATAAATAAAAAAGTGTTTTACTATTCAATAACAATAATAAAGAAAAATAATAGATGAGAATAATTTGAAATTAGAAAGGAATATATTGTTTAATATAAGAAAATGTTTGGTGTCTTTCTTGGATTTTATCAGAGATAATAACAGATTGTGGATTTTTTAATTCCTGAACAAAGTTATCATAAGTTGCATTTAATAAACGGTCTCTAACATTTTTAAGATAATCAGGTTCAATACTATCATAACAAATAAAAGTAAATAAAGTAATAATATTTTGAGATAATTCTTTTACTTTTTCCCATGCCCATCGAGCGTATTGATAAAATGATTGAGTTAAATGAAGATCTTCAAGTAATTTCATAATTTCACTAAATCGAGTAATTTCAGGTTCATTTTCTTTTCGAGGAACTAATTTACCAAATACATAACCAAAATCAATATGAAATATTTTACCAGTTGTATATTGAAGTAAATAATTATCTCCATGTCTATCTCTTAACATTAGTGCATAATTTAATACACAACATAATGCAAATGATTTAGCAAAATTTAATTGTCTACTTAAAGCATCAGTTGTAATAGTATCACAAATTACTTTAATTTTTTGTCGATCTTCTTCTGTTTCACCAGTTTGATCAGTTTCTAATTTATCATTTTTCATTTGATAAATAAATTTAGCAAGTTCCATATTTTGTTTATTATGTTCTTTAGAAACAACAGTTCCCATAATCATTGAGAATGAATTTTTAAAATGGTTAAATAATTTACCAATTTCAATAACATCAGGAACAAATTCTACAATTCCTTTTTTTGTTCCTAATTCAATAATATCATACGTTAAATATTCAAGGTCTATTTGTGTTTTTAATTCATTATAAATGTAATTTGATAAAATTAATATTAATTTATCATTTAAAAGATCATCATTACTTTTAACCATAAAACATCTATCTTTTAATGTTTGATTACTATTAACTTGAACAGGAATAATCATTGGTCTATTAGCTGAATTATATTGTTTTAAACATTTAATTTTATTAATTTTTCCTTTAAGAAATGGAAGACTAAAATTATTCATTTGTTTCATTGATTCAATTTTCATATTATTTGTTGAAATTAATTTTTGGACAATTCCCTGAACAATTCCTTGTTCTTTACTTTGAGCATTGATTTCTTCAACTCTTGCAATCATTTCATTTGCACAATTAATATCATAAATAATTGTAGGATTCCATTGTACAACAATTTCTGCAAATGAATGGAAAAGTTGAATAAATACATCAAAATATTCATCTCGTTTTTCAATAATATTTACAATACCCCAAAGAAGTTCTTCTGCAAATAAATGTGTTTCATTATTATTTTCTTTAAGTAATTGAATTAATTTATTAAGAAATAAATCATTTCGTTCATGTTTTAAAATTTCAATAATATGTGGAATATATTCTTTAATTTGATTAATAGTAATAAATTGAATCATTTTATAACCAATTCGTTCTTTTAATACAGTTGAATATGTTTGTGTAGAGAAATAAGGAAGAATATCAATAAATGAAAATTGTTTATTTTGAATAAAAGAATCAAGTAATTTTTGTTCTTCAACAAAGTCAATGATATTATTAATATAATCTTTACCTGTTTCTATTGTTGCTTGTAATGTAGATTTTAATACAAAAAATCCAATTGTATTAAAATAATGATGAAGATAATAATGTCTAAATCTAAATAAATGAAGAGCAAGGTTTTCTGGAATATTTTCACTTAATGATATTTTCTTACATTCAAGTAATGTATTGTTTGTTATTGTTTCTTCAACTATTGAATAATCTTTACATTGATCCCATAATGATTCAACTCTTTTTGGAATTCGATAAATAGACTTAATAGTATTAATAGTTATATCTATTTTCACTCGTTCTGATTCTTTAGTAGTAATATTATTTTGTTCAGAATTAAATGCTGGAATTGTAATAACTTCTATTGGAAGTAAACAATGTTGTTTGTCATGAATAAAAAGTCCATCTGAATTAAATAAATATAATAAATATTTACTATAAAGATAATCAGTACCATTAGAATATATTGCTTCAATATATAAAGTAGATTCTAATGATAATTGGTTATATTTTGTTTTAAAATGTATATAATGAACATTTGGTGTTTGAGATAAATTAATAATAACTTCTTCAAAATCAGGATTATTATTTTTCTTTAATAATAATGACCTTAATTTCATTTTAACTTGAGTACAATGAAATTCTTGAATAATTGATTGAATATTAAATAATATAATAACATTATTATCAATCTGTTCAATATCATATTGTTGTTGTGAATTTAATGTTAATTCAGTTAGTCCAGTTAGATGATAAAATCCTTCATTACATCCATTACCAAGAATGTCATTACTAGTAATCTCACGTTTTCTTGATACAAAGAGATTTAATAATCCAGCTTGTTGTTTATTTTTTAATTCTAATATTAAATGATGTTGTGGGTGATGAATTTCAATATTATTTTGCATATAATCTAAAACAACTTCATCTCCATTAAATTCAGCAATTTCATTTCCAGAAACTAATAAGTCAGGTTCTTTAGTATTTGTGTTTAATATAATTCTAATTTTCTTAAGAACTGAACTACTTTCAAAAAGAAGAACAACCCATACAGGATATTGTTTATCTTGAATAACAAGCCAACAATTAATAGAGGCAAAATATAACATAAACAGATAATAATAATGTTTTATAGTTCTAATTTATTAGTACTAATTAGTAATTTTCTTTTATTTTTCTTTTTTGTTATTAACAAAACAAGACAAAAAAATGAAAGAATAAAGAAAAAGACAATTAAATGACTTTTAATCCATTAATGATTTAACTACTTCCTCTCTAATAAATGAAATGTCTGAACTAATTTTTGTTTTATAATTTTCTTCTGTTAAATTTGCAGAAAAGTCTTTTTCTATTGAATTGAGAACGTTTTCTTCATCTTTCATAATTTCTTCTTTATATTGATTATTAAAATATTTGATAATATAGAAATTGACATTTCTTTCTAACTGATCAATAACATCATTAATTTTAATTGGAGCAATATTCTTTTTATTACCTGGTGATGGTGGTAATGGCTTTTTTCGAGGATCTGTTTTACTTAATCCTGATGGTTTGGGAGGAACTGGTAATGGTTTTGCACTATGAAATCCTTCCATTTCTTCAGCTTTGCTACTAATATACTTTTTAACAATAACTCTGAAATACTGAGTAATTTGATTTCTAATATTTTTTAATTCATTTAGATAATACTTATTTAAGGAATTTAAATCATCATCATTTCTCATAAATGCAAC